ACTCTGCTGTCTTTTGTCACATCCTTGTCTTTATTTTTCATATTGCCTGCACATAATTTCGCCGGATTCAGCAGCAGATCACACTATAAATAAACGCATAATCGCTTACTTTATGTCCTCTGTGTTTACTTCCGTATGACCGCGCGCTGCGCAAGTGTTGCCAAATCTTGTTTGTAGGCTATCATTCTTTTGCGCATGCGGGTCAGTTCAGAACCATGATCTGTTCACACTGTAAAACTGGTATTGGCCACATTTAAAACAACAATGTGAACAGCTACACAAAAAAAAATCGGAATTGAGCACTAAGGCTCGCAGTGTGAACGTAGCCGACGTCAAGGCCCTGTTTACACTGTCAGTTAAACGTGACCCAATTCCGATTTTTTTGCTCATGTGACACAGATCGGATCTGTTCTATGACAGTGTAAACAGGAATAAAACGCATGCATTCGGATATTTCGAGATCGGTTTCAGGCCTCATTCATATGTGGAAATAAATCGGATATAAATCAGATATGTGCCAATGCGACTGTCATGTAAACGGGCAGATCGGATTTTCTGAGGCATTGCGTTCTGTACGTCATTAAAACTGCAACAATGTGGTACTTCTCCGCGGTTTAATGACATCATATGCAGTGTTGGGCAGTAACTAGTTACTAGTAATGTAGTTACTGTGATAATATTACTTTTTGCAGTAACTAGTCGTGTAACTAATTACTAATAAGATTTCAGTTATAATATTACAGTTACCATCCATAAAACAGCTTAGTTACTTAGTTACTTTTGATGCCTCAACTCCGCTGATTTAAAATCCAACAATCAAATAATTCCTAGATTTATTTCCATAATTTTCAGGACTGGCACATGCATGTGATGTCCCCAGTGCAGCAGGCAAGCTTGGAATATGGAAAAGCTTACATTCAGCAGGTAGAAATATTGCATTATATTGATTTTTTTCAGGAAAAAAGATGATTTGAACACTGTTGTGTAAGTTGTGGCTTTACTTTACTCTGGCATTACATCCCACCCACATCCCTCTGATCAGCATGTGGTACATTATATTACTATAATTACAAATCTTTTTGGAAAAAAAGAGTTTCTTACAAACTTATGTGATTTGATAAAATACATAATGAAATATAATCGCAGGCTATATGGGTAAGGGAGAAATTACAATTAGCTTCAAGCTACACATGACAATTAATGAGATTAAAACAACACTTCTACTTGAATGTCACTATCAAACACTATTGAGTGTTTGTAATAACTTCTGACTGCGAACCAATGTGGATTTTGGTCAAATGATGAGGCAGAAATAGGTTATATGTTGTTAGTAAGAATTGTATGTGGAAGATACACAGTTACAACTTCTGTGAGGCCCGAAGAAAAAGTAATGTAACTAGTAGTGTAACTACTGTTGCCAGAAAGTAATAAGTAAAGTAACAATATTACTTTTGAAAGGAGTAACTAGTAATGAGTAATATATTACATTTTTTGAGTAACTAGCCCAACACTGTTCTGTGACCCGTGCTGGCAATATGAGTGTAAATTCGCACGGGCTATTTTGAGTTACAGGCAAAAAACAAAACAAAAAAAACGTGCTATAATGCTCCAAGTAGTAATTAAACTTCTAAAATAATCTTTATTTGTACATTTTCTGAGAGGATTACCTTTTCTCCGCTTGCTTCTCGCGTGAAGTGCGTGCACATAACGGTGCTTCTGACCGCGCGCGATCCCATACAGATTTACAGTATTTCAGTATTCACGCAAACATAATCTGTTCTGTCTTAAGTGAACGCTTGGGGAACTGTTGGGGGAAAACATCTGTTGTGTACCATTATTAGATCCGTGCATTACAGTATAGGACGTCTGTATAATTAATGTTAATCTAACAATAAAAGAAAAGAGGGAATCACTCGCTGCACTTCATTGAACTGCTTTGGTAGTTTTAATAATCAATTTATTTGTAATGAACACACTTAAGTTATTTCTACATTTGACTATTTGTTTTTCGTACATGAATGCTTAGTTTAGATATAAAATTATAAAGGTAATGCATATTTGTTTCTTTCTAGGCTATTTGTTCTACTGTTTTTTGTTTTTTTTTGCATCTGTTCTTATTTATAATAGCAAAGATAAAATAAAAAATAGCTGTACTGTGATTATTAATATAGTAAAAGCCAGGTGCAGTAGGAGATCTTAGAAAATGGGAAAAAGGGAAATGCTTTGGGAAGTCGTGGCCTAATGGTTAGAGAGTCGGATTCATAACCCAAAAGGTTGCGGGTTCGAATCTCGTACCGGCAGGGATTGTAGGTGGGGGGAGTGAATGTACAGCGCTCTCTCCCACCTTCAATACCACGACTGAGGTGCCCTTGAGCAAGGCACCGAACCCCCAACTGCTCCCCGGGCGCCGCAGCATAAATGGCTGCCCACTGCTCCAGGTGTGTGTTCACGGTGTGTGTGTGTTCACTGCTGTGTGTGTGCACTTTGGATGGGATAAATGCAGAGCACTAATTCCGAGTATGGGTAACCATACTTGGCCACATGTCACGTCACTAACTTTAGCCTGATAGCACTGAACGTCCCACCCTCCCTGCAATCGCCGTCCAAAGCCACGCATTTACGCTCACAGACCAGAATACCAGAGACAACATTACTACAATAGGCTACATCAGCGGTTTCCAATTCCAGCCCATGTTCCGAAGTGAAGTAAACTTCAACGGATTTCCCCTGCTCAGGGAGTAGGGAGCAATGAACACTGTGTAGGGATCATATCAATCGGTACACAGTTCATGCACATAGCTCACTTCTAACGAGCTGGCGCGAGGACTGGATTAATGGCTGGGCTACATCATGTGTCTTTCAATGGTGAGAAAACATTAAAAGTACTACAATACCAGGAAGGAAGATGGGGTTGTTGATGTTTGTCTGCCATTCTCGCTCTGTCTGCACAGCGTGCGTGAACACGCTGATGATGTATCCTGTCAGGAAAGCCAATTAAAACGCTCGGACCAATTGATTGGACGAACATTTCTTGATCCTATGCCTTCCACAGGGTATATAAATACAAAAAATAAAAAAATAAAAAATAAATACATTTAGACCACTTAATTTAATGATTGCTATAGGGATGTGAAGAGACTTTCAACCAGCATAACAAAAAAATGTTTCTGAAAGACAATCACCTATTGCACCTTTAATAATAAGAAAAGACAGAGGACTTCACTCTATCGACTTCAAACGGGTGTAGTTTTTTGTCCGATTCCAACAAATCATAAATAATTTTGAAGGGCTTTTAATGGAGAATGTCTTTTTTTTTTTAATTGCTCAGTGTGACTCGTTTTGTCAGCACAGGTCACATTATTCTCAGGAGGAACCACGTGTGGAGGCAGCAAATGACAACAACGCATGAGCGATGTTTCAGATGGTATGGCAAGTGTAAACTCGTGAATCAGATATGGGTCACAATTAAAAGAACGTGTAAATGGACAGGCAAAAAAAATCAGATATAGGCAACAAATCAGAATTGGGCATCAAGACCTGCAGTGTAAAGGAGACCCAAGACATGGCGGCGGCGGTAACAATACTACAGCGAGAATCTTACGCCTTCTTTCTTTGCGTGAACATTTGGGCGGTGTTATGCAAATCTTCCCACACAGTGACGTAGACATGTGGGGGCGTGTTTAAACGAGGTCTTATCTATTCACGAACAGTTTGTAACACTCCAAAGAGAAAGGAAAACTTGAAATCGCATCATATGACCCCTTTAAACAGTGCGACGAAACATTGTAAAAACACTTAAAGTGCCTTAATATATTTAAAACGGTAATATTAAAAGATCAAATTCAGTAATCACCATATTAATTATGCATAGTTTACATAAGTAAGCAGATGAGGCCGGAATATGAATGCAATCCGCTTAATGGTTCAGTTTTCCTTATAGTGGTTTTCTATGGGAAACCATTTAATGTGAAACTTTGCACATTGTTTATATTCTGGGTTCATCTGCTTGCCTGTACAACATATACATAATCAGTAAGGTGTTTACTGAATTTCGCCTTTTAATATCTGCGTTTTACTACATTACTACTTAATGCAATCTGCATAAAAATAACTGTCGGTCAGTGGAGCAAAGCTTCGTTTTGCTCTCCAGGTGGGCGTTCCTATAAGGGTGTGACGTCACGTGAAAACTATCAATTAAACAGTAACAACATTTATATCTTCTTGGAGTTATTTCTAAGACTGAACTTTTTTATATTGTTGGACGTAAATCAAGCCATTTGGGAGGAAACGCAAAGCACAAGATGAATGTACCAAATTTTTTATGTTATTTGGTTGAAATAGACCAATGCAAGCAGCAGTTAACTGGATATTCTGTTGAAGTGGCAAATAAAAATATTTGAGACTCGACTTTGCCTTTATATGAATTTGATTAATACATTTTCCCCAGTGTACTGCAGTGAATACAGGTGAAGTGGGGCAACTTTTGGATTCATTTCTTACTTTTTACACTGTATATTGTAGATTATTGTTATGGTAATTTTTGTAAGGAGTTAAATCATCTGGGAATCATATTTTAGGGAATCTGTATTCACCCTGATCATATCTAGTACTAGGACAACAATAATTGTTTTAGATTCAGCATTTAAATAATGCATTTAGATTTAGCAACATTTAAATAATGCATTCTGTATTTGCTGCTAATATTATTACATCTGAGACATAAACCTTACAAAATCTAACAAATGAACATTTCTTGTCCATCATTCCTGGAGAATCTGACCTTTGACTTATGGACTCCGTTGGGAAAACTGCTTCTAAACTGACCACTTATACCCATTACCAAGCTACAGCAGAGCACCAATCCAGAAACCACTTCTATTTTTATTTACACATTTTTTATTTTTAATATGTGTTATTGTCTGTGATTCATGAAGATCTCCAGCTGGAAACAAAAGAAACGAACATCACACCATCTCTCCAAAAGAAGGGCTGAGCCACCATGCATTTCTACTATAAAAAGCAGTTTAATTATTTTGTATATATATATATAAAAAAAAAAAAATGAACCAACAAAACTACAGAAACTGTTGCAGGGTTGTGACACTAGTCATCTGTGACAGTAAAAGGCCACCGAGGGCCGTACTAAATTACATTTGATCGTAAACAGAGCAGACACTTTACATTAAGTCCAGATGCTCGGATGAATACTGTTAACATGTATCTGTTGAGCCGACGCTAGTCTTTATGCACTGTTGGATCCATGCATTAGCCTATGACGCACAGGTTACCTCCATTAGAAGCAGTGGACGCTCGGCCGCAAGCAGGGCTGGCCGAGTCTCTCTACTGGTCAGGCAGATGAGAATGATGGGAAGAGTAGCAGCAAGGCAGTGAGTTATTACTGGATCCACACGAACCTCACAGGAATGCACTTACACTGAGCATAAAGTCCATAAGACAAACTAGTGAACTAAAAGTGACATACAGCTTCCACTGAAGTGGTATGGAACGGTTCTGTCGAATCCACACCGACCGAGAGCAGACGACAATCATCTGCACGTTTCTCCTGGCTGTTTGCGGCGTACTGGAAGACATGGCATCAGACGAGGCCCACATCCTTTGGACGTACCGCTTGCGTACACACCAAGGCCACTGATACCCTGGAAACAGTTCTGGAATGACCTTACATTTACCATCCGTTTGGATTCACTCAATCGTTCATTCAATCCACATCTTTTCATCCGTTAAAAAAACAAAGCTAAAACAAAGACAGTTATACTGCTATTCGTACGGGTGTCTGCTTGTATTCCTGGGTATATTTGTCAAGACACTTTGTTAATTATATATGTAAATATATATAAAATCAATCTGTGCAAGGAGTATGACAATCATCGTAAGCGTTGTTCTCTGAGATAACAGTATAGAAATAAAAGCGATGCTGACTCGTCCACGTCTCGCAACACTCACGCACGCATATTTGTTCTCAGCCATCTGAAATCACACACGGGCCGAGTCAGCATCAGTATCATTCAGTCGGCCGTGCCCCCCTCCCTTACATTTCATTAGCAACACTTGGCAATTTTGCTTTTCCTAAAAGAAACATTGATCTCTATACAATTCATACAAAAATAAACTTAAAACAAAAAAAAAAAAACAGATTTCCCATATTGTTGTTGGCATCTTGTTGAGCACAGAGGTAGTGGCTAAATGGAGGGGAAGGGTGAGGAATTAGGTATGCAAACGTCTGAAAAAGAAAAAAAAAAAACAGGGAAAGGAAAGAAAAAATATATGTATAGAAAATGCTTTCTTTTCTTGACCAGAAGGATTTCTTGAAGAATAAAATATAATACTGCGATCACATACAAAAGTGTCCTTCATTTTTGTCTTTTTTGTGTGTTTTTTTTTTTTTTTGTACATTTTGTACAGTGTTCCTGCTCTTGTTGCTTTTCCTTTGACATGTAAAGGCATAACGGTCTGCGTGAGGGCAGGCATCCGGCCGTGACTCTACGCCAGCGGGTCTCCCATGTCGTCGTCTCCTGCAGACAGCAGCTCTTTCTTCTCGTCTGTGCTGGCCAGAGAGTTACGGCTGTTATGGGCGCCCAAGTAGAGTGTGGCGTATACGGGGTTGGTGAAGTTTGTGGGCTGCAAGAGAGACACAGATGCAGATAAGCTGATGATTACTTTTATGGCTCATAGAAGATTAATGGCCGATATTACATTTTCAAACTATTTTAATGACATATTAAAAATAATAAACTAAACACTAAGTGAATTTATGCAATACCAGCATTATAATATACAGTAGGGATGCACGATATTATTGGACCAATATCGGAATCTGCCGATAGTGGCTTTAAATGTAAATATCGGCATCAGCCCGATATGAAAAATTATGCCTATATGTCTTGCCGATAAGAGGAATACATTAACTCGCATGTGCTCAGGGTGTGCTAGCGATTAGATCACGTCAGCATTGTGGCTCATTCTTGAAGCAAAGTTTCGCCTGAATGGTGATTAGATTAACTACTTTGGATTGCTGCATTTAATCTGTGAAAGCACGTACAGAATGACGCGTTCGGTGTATGATAGAGTAAACAGTAATAGCAGGTGCAGTGGCAGCAGCAAAATACACAAATAATATTTAGACTGTGTTTCTGATTAAATAAAGCGGTAATTGATGCCATAAAATCATGAGTATGTTTTGATTTAAAGGTCAGAAACTTACACGAACAAAAAATAAAATAAAATCACAAACATGACACTTAAACTAAATAATTTTATATATACGTTCATTAATGTGTAATATGTTATATTTTTTTAAACAAATTATAAGCTTTTTGAAAGATTTTCAGAATTTGTACAACTCTTTTGCTTTAGACTATTTACAAATGTTAAATCATAAAATAAAATGTTAAGGTTACCACTGCATCTTTCTGAAAAAAAAAATGCAGTGATTAATATATAGTTTATTTATAGTTATTTTCAAATCTTCAATGTACTGTCATTATAAAAGAACTTTATTATTGTTTATTTAATTCTAACAATTAAGTTCTTGTTAAAAAACTAAAAATAATTATATATCGGTATCGACATCGGCTATCAGCCAAAATGAGTTGAAAATTAACGGCATTAGGCTTGCCGCGATAGACGGTGCTGACGGTGATACCGGTGTTAAGCCGCAGCACCGGTTACGTCACTTGCCCACCGCGTCACCGACCCCCACCGTCGTTTTGATTTTTTATAGAAATAAAAATAATTTAGTTCAGTAAAAGAGCAGACACTACAATTAAAAACTGAACGCGGATGCTCAATGCAGTTGAACGACAGTTGCATCACAGATCAGATTTCA